GGCCTGGCCTGTGATCTCCTCTCTTCTGCTGTACAATCACATTGTCACTGAGAGACCATAGACAGCTGGCCGTCAGAAAGAGAAACGCAGACCCTATGTCCCATCTGAGCCCTGGTCTTCTTCCTGCCCACTGCTCCCCCATCCAGACTGGCACCGGAGGCGTCTTGTCAGCACACACCCACACCCGGTCACTTCCCACACTGGGGCTTCATCCCCATTTCTCTCCCCAGGTGTGCAAGGCACTGTCACAATCTCAGCCTAGGCCATGCCCAAGTGGGTCAAAGTGCAGGTGGGTAGGCACCTGGAAGGAACTGCACGAGCAGAGGCGGTACGTGCCCCTGCAATCCTGCGGAGGGGTGGGACAGGGCGGAGACCAGGCAGGGGCTGGAGAAGAAAGCATGAAGAGAGGAAACTCCACAGGCCCCAAGCAGTCAGGGCTGGGCAGCAGCATAGCACTTCCTTGGAGCCACTGGGACCCTGGGCATAATGCTCTTGCCTTCTAAGAAGGACCTCAAGACCGCCATGGAGGTCTTTGCTGTTTTCCAGTGGGCCCTCAGTGCCTTCCTTATCGGTGAGTCTTCTTCAGCCATTGGTAAGGTGACCAACCATCCTGGCTTGCCTGGGACTTTCGAAGGATTTTAGGGTCACAGGACATTCAATGCTCAAACTGGGGCTGTCCCAGGCAAACCAAGATGGTTGGTCGCCCTGGCCTGTGGCCTGATCCAGCTGGGCATGGTATTCGTAGGATCCGTGAGTGTCCATGTGAACACGTGTGCGCATGTGGGTGTGCGGCTGTGAGGGTGCGTGTGTCATGTGTATGCCTGTGCCTTGCTGCAGGCGTGTGTGGCGAGCCCTCCTGGGTCTACACTGGGGTGTGGAGGCCATGTTTTGGGAAGATAGGGAGTAGTTCCACTGAGGCTAGCCAAGGAAAAGGGCTTAGCTGTGACCACAGGGACTCAAGCTAACCATCTGTGAGAAAGAGTTGGCTGGGTGGCAGAGGAAGTCTTTGGCAACTTCTCATCTAGAGGAATTCAACCATTTATCCATCAATTTCTTCCTTCCTTCCTTCCTTCCTTCCTTCCTTCCTTCCTTCCTTCCTTCCTTCCTTCCTTCCTTTCTTTTCTTTCTTTTTTTTTTTTTTTTGACAGAGTCTCACTCTGTTACCCGGACTAGAGTGCCATGGCATCAGCCTAGCTCACAGCAACCTAAAACTCCTGGGCTCAAGCGATCCTCCTGCCTCAGCCTCCCGAGTAGCTGTGCTGGGACTACAGGCATGCGCCACCATCCTTGGCTAATTTTTTCTATACATTTTTAGTTGTCCAGCTAATATCTTTCTATGTTTAGTAGAGATGGGGTCTCGCTCTTGCCCAGGCTGGTCTCGAACTCCTGACCATGAGCGATCCCCCCGCCTTGGCCTCCCAGAGTGCTAGGATTACAGGTGTGAGCCACTGCGCCCGGCCCATCCATTACATTCAACCCATACATCACCACAAGCACTTTGCATAAGTTATTTATATGCTGGCCACTGAAACAAATCATTGCTATGGGAGGGGGGCCTGGAACAAAAGCACTCACCTGGCCTGGTGGTTCAGGTGAGTACTCGCTGGAGTGAGGGGCATGAACTCAATGATCTTGTAAGCTATCTGGGAATGAAGAATGCAGATAGGCCCTTGGAGCATGGAGCTGGCATTTAGCATACATTACTCAGGATAGTCTAAGTATGCCATGGTAACAAATTAACTCTGAAATCCCAGTGGCTTACGCCAGCAAATGTTTACTACTTGTTCATGCTGAATGTCCAACACAGGTTGGTAGGAGTCTCTGCTCACTGTGGACACTCATGTTCAGGCTGATGAAGGCACCACCAAATTGTGATGCTGTAAAATGTGGCTTAAGGGATTATCCTAGCATGGGAATGAAAGTGAATGGTGAGCTCATATGCAGTCCTTCCTACCAGAAGTGATAGGTGAATAGAAGGTAAGCAGAAGTGATAGGTAAACAGCAATGACTCCTAGACTTATTTTGAACCTCCTCGATTACCGATGAGGTCGAGCATCTTTTCATATGTTTATCAGCTAATAGCATTTCTTTTTCTGTTACCTGCACATTCATGACCTTTGCCCATTTTTCTATTGAATTGGGTTGACTCTTGAAATAGGAAATAGGTGTAGAAAGGAAGGGTGTTTGAGGCACAGGGTGGGCAACATATGAAAAGCCTAGGACATGGGGAGAGAAAAATGCATTCAAGGAGCTGCCAGTGGTTAAGCGGGATGGGGCTGTGAGAAGCACAGAATTGGTGCTTGATACATATTTACTGAATGAATGAACTAGAGAGGGAAGAAAGAGGAGGCTGGAAAGCAGGCAAGGGACAGATTGTGTCGGGGATTGTAAATCATGGAAAAGAGTTTGGACTTTTTCCTGAAGGCCATGTGGAGCCAGGATGGGGTTTGGCATAGGGCGATGGCATCTGATTTGTGGTTCTGCGAGAACATTATAGCTCTGCACAGCAAATCGATTGTAGGAAGATAGGAGTGGAAGTTGATGATGCCAGGCAGGAGGCTGTTGCGATTATCCAGGTGAGATATGGTGGTGATGTGGACCAGGCCAGTGGTGATGGATGGACAGAAAAGGGAAGAAGAGGGAAGACTCAAGACACTGGAGTAAAATGAATAGGACTTGGTGATCAGAAGGTGTGGGTGAGAGAAAGGGAAGAAGCAATATTGAGGGATTGGGGTCCAGTGTGCGCTGGCAGAGGAGTAGGAGGAACAGAGAAAGGCTAAGGAGGTTGAGAGGAGCTCTTCTGCCTGGCCCTGTGTGGGCACTCCGGAGTGTGACACTGGAGTGGGGGCAGGCAGAAGGGCGCCTGCCCCTCCCTCACTACCTTACACGGGGAACTGAGGTTCAGCACCATGTTTGTTCACACACATGGTAAGTGGCAAATCCAGGACTCATCTCACAAGACGCTCCGCCTGAGGCCACACTCACAAGGTGTCCCCAACGCTGTCTGGGTTTGAGCAAAGCCTGAGGGAAACTGGAAGGGGCCCTCTGCACCAGACTCCTGCCTCTTTTCAAATGGTGCAGATCTAAAGCCTAAAACGGCTGGCTTTTGCTCCACCCTTAGTTCTATTTCCCCGAGGCAGTCCTTTTCAACTTTGTTAGCACTTTCTTCTGGTATTTACTTCTGTATTTCTAAATTTTACTATTTAGAATTTCTAAATATTATTGTTTTCTGATGTAACAATTTTAGACATTTACTATTGGCTTCCTAATATGGAAGATGAGAATTTGGCTCTATACACTATGACTAGAACTTTGTCTTCCCCCATGCTACCCAAATTGGTATAGCACAGGTTTTGGTTAAACACCTACGACTAGGAAATATTATTCGCAATTGAGCTATTTAATGTACCAGGATTATATTTCTTTTCCCATGCAACTTCTTGTTTCCCCTGAAGTTAGTAATTGCCTCATTTTAAACTTCTTTTGTTATCTATTGGAAATCTATTAGTTATCACTAATTCTTCCCCTGACTCTCCACAGACGTGTGGATTTCTCAGTATGTCAAGCACATCAGGACACTGAGGACATCACTGCTGGAGCCCAGCATCTTCCTGTTACAGTCTGGCCTCATGCACAGCTGTCACCTCCAGGGCCCTTGAGGCACCTTTGCTTCAAAATTTTAAAAGGTGCTCACTCTCAGGGCTGTGCAAGTGTTGGGCCACTGCTTGCATGACCCCAAGAGTGAGTGTCTCCTTCAATGCTGTGCCCTGGGCACCTTGGTCACCTCTCCCTAGCCCTCACCCTGCTCACTGCCCTCCTTCACTGGATCCCCTTTTCCCCTGGATCCTATGCGTTTCTCTTTCTTGGTTTACTCCTTCATTTCGATGAAGCACGTCCTCCAGTAGTTTTCTGAGAAAGGGGCATGGGAGACAAATTATCTGAGCCTGTGTATATCTGAAATTGTCTTTATTCTACCTTCATATTTGATTAATAATTTGCCTGCATATAGAATATCTTAGCTGTGTCTGGTGTATTTGAGTCTAGAGTCTCTTTGGTTCGATTTTTTAGAGAATAATCCTCTTATCATCCACTTGTGGAGGAGAGGGGAGGGAATCTGGGGTTCTAATTCTTTAGCACACTTTCCACCAACCTTCTGGTTGTTTTTAGCCCTGTGCCTCATACCTGCCTTTTGTGACATCTGGTGCCTCCAAATTTTGAGTCTTTTCTACATTCCCCTGTACAAACAGGCTTGCTTCTTGTAGGCATCCCTGTGCAGGTAACTAGATTTCAGCTTTTGTTGTTATGAGTCAGTTACCCTCTCCTCTATCTGCTTTCCTGCATGCAAGTGTTTTGGTGATATCTCTTATCCACTGTTTGCACCGCAGTAATTCATTTTCTTCTTGTGGGTTTATATCTTAAAAAACATTTTAATGATAATTTTCATGGAGCTCCAGCAAGAAGTCAAGACAAAAACTTGTGTTCAGACCACCATATTCAATTCGAAGTGTTTTTTGTTTGTTTGTTTGTTTTTGAGACAGAGTCTCACTCTGTTGCCCGGGCTAGGGTGCCGTGGCGTCAGCCTAGCTCACAGCAACCTCAAACTCCTGGGCTCAAGCGATCCTCCTGCCTCAGCCTCCCGAGTAGCTGGGACTACAGGCATGTGCCACCATGCCTGGCTATTTTTTTTCTATATATTTTTAGTTGGCCAATTAATTTCTTTCTATTTTTTTTAATAGAGACAGGGTCTTGCTGTTGCTCAGGCCAGTTTCGAACTCTAGACTTTGAGCGACCCTCCAGCCTTGAAGTGTTTTTTTTTTCTTTTCTAATGTTTATTTTGACCCACTCTCTCACATTATTTTTTTCACAGCTGTTTTAAAAACTGAGTCCAGTAGTAATTCTAAGTGAGTGACCCATCTCCAGTGACTCTTTCCTAACTACTCTAACCTACACTCTTCCGATCTTATTGGAGCTTGCTGACCCGGTGCCTCATTCTGTTCCAGCTTGTGTTTTCCTCTGTTTCTTGTTTGCCGTCTTGTATGTCCCCAACCTGGCTGAAGGTGAGTTTTGGCTTTCTGTGGTATTCCCTTCACTGATGCCTCGCAGAGAAGATATGGCGAGGAAAACGTGAGGTAGAAGAAAACCGTTCCAAGACTCTTGACGTGTGGGCCCAACACTGGCTCCCTGCCCTCACCGTGCGGGCCACGGCTGGGGAGGAGCACACCTTGCCTTCCAGATCCGAATCCGGTTCCCAGAGACAGAGAGGAGAGAGGCCTGGGGACGTGGGCGTGTGGCCGCGTGCTGGGGTGAGGAAGTGAGAGCGCTGAGTGGGCCTGGCTGAGAGCGCGTGTGACCTTGGGGTGGACAGAACTCCAGGGGGAGGGTCAGCGCGAGGGGCGGCTCACAGTGCATTAACTCTGGGCTGGGCTTCCTCCAGTGATCACCGTGATCCTTGTCAACCTCTACCTGGTGATGTTCACACCATACTGGCCTGCTACTGTGCTCATGCTCACCTGGCTGGCTTTTGACTGGAAAACCCCTGAGCGAGGTAAGGGCCCTGCGGCCCTGTGTCGCCACACATCACATGCTCTTTCCTCCTTTCTCATTAGAGTCCTAAGAGGCTCTGGCTGATTCTCAGGTGACCCTTCCGCCTGTCCCTCCCTGGGCTAGAGAAGCTGAGGGAAGGGGTCCTTTTAAGGTGTTAGAAAGGCCCAGATCAGAACCGGACTGGGTTAGGAGAGGGGCAGCTAGTGAAGCGGAAGCTACGTCTGGCCTAAACTGGGCCCAATGTGCCCACCCTGGTTGTCAGTGAAGAGGCCGGGAGGTGGCGGTGAGCGAGGGCACCTGTGGCGGGCCACGGCGGGGTGGGCCAGGCTTGGCCGCATCGCCTCTGTTTTCAGGTGGCCGCCGCTTTCGCTGTGTGAGGAGGTGGCGCCTGTGGAGACACTACTGCAATTACTTCCCGCTCAAGGTGAGTAGCCCCAGGTCCCACCCAGGCCCCGGCCCCAGCCCCAGCTCCAGTGCTAGCAGCCGGGGCAGGTTAGGGGTGGAGGGCATCGTCCATGTCGCGGCCTGTGAGAGTGACACCCTTTCCCTTTTGGGTCTCTGGCCGAAAGAGGAGAGTCCTCTTGTCTGGCTGTAGCCCTCCTGACTCCACTTTCCCCGCAGCTTCTGAAGACTCATGATATCTCCCCCAGCCACAACTACATCCTCGCCTGCCACCCTCACGGCCTCATGTCCCACGCATGCTTTGGCCACTTTTCCACAGAGATGTCAGGTTTCTCCAAGATCTTTCCTGGCATCACCCCCTATATGCTCACATTGGGAGCCTTTTTCTGGGTGCCTTTCCTCAGAGAATATGTAATGGCTACAGGTGAGTTGGCTCCTGGGACATAAAGCCAAAGAAGCAATCACTTCCCAAGGGAGAAGCGTAGGGCAATGGGTGAGAGTGAGGCCAACGCCATGATCCCTTCTGGTCTTTCTCTTTATTTATTTATTTATTTATTTATTTTTTGAGACAGAGTCTCACTCTGTTGCCCAGGCTAGAGTGAGTGCCGTGGTGTCAGCCCAGCTCACAGCAACCTCAAACTCCTGGGCCCAAGCAAATCTCCTGCCTCAGCCTCCTGAGTACCTGGGACTACAGGCATGCACCACCATTCCCGGCTAATTTTTTTCTATATATTTTTAGTTGTCCAGCTAATTTCCTTCTATTTTTAGTAGAGACGGGATCTCACTCTTGCTCAGGCTTGTCTCAAACTCCTGACCTCGAGCGATCCTCCAGCCTCGGCCTCCCAGAGTGCTAGGATTACAGGTGTGAGCCACCATGCCTGGCCCCCTCTGGTCTTAAACAGCTACCCTAGGAGCACCTGCTTGAAGTGAGGTTCCTTGCTCCCTCCCTCCTTTGAAGGGATAGGGAGGAAAGTTAGGGGGTTTGGGAAGTGGCCAAGGACTATTTGGCTTTCTCTGCTCGCCAGGTGCCTGCTCTGTGAGCCAGTCCTCCATGGACTTTCTGCTGACCCGTAGAGGCACAGGCAACATGCTCATCGTAGTGGTCGGTGGCCTGGCTGAGTGCAGACACAGCCAGCCAGGCTCCTCCACCCTGGTCTTGAAGAACCGGTCTGGCTTTGTGCGCATGGCCCTTCGACACGGGTAAGGACAGGTCTGGTCCAGACTGGGGGAAGGGGATTCAAAAGCCCAGCAGGGAGGGAGGAAGGGATTTTGAGGACGTGGTATCTAAAGAGGGCGATGGAAGTATACAATATGTTGTTATTAACTATAGTCATCATAAGTACATACAGTTTTCATTTGTCAGTGAAACATAGGAGAAAAAAGAGGGTGGAGGAAAGCCACCCTGTGTTGGAATACAGCGAAAGCCAGGTGGTGGAGGCATTTCTGCTTAAGAAGAAAGGGTAGAGGGCCAGCCCTGAGCCTATTATCTCTCACCCCAGTCTCTCATCTGGGCCAGTCCTTCTATAAAAGGGGATTGCCTGCAACCCCATCTCAGAGAGGGCCAAGCGTAGCCTGTGGGTTAAAGAGGAGAAAGCCACAGAAATGGCCCTCAGGTCTGATCGTCCAGTGTTCCAAACCTGGGGCTTCACAGGAGGGGCTGGGCTTGCTCCCTGTGGCTTACTGCTGCTTCGCCCCACAGGCAGCGGGGCTAGGCCATGGAGCCCCCACTTGCAGCTTGGACCTAGGCACAGCTGGGCTGGGGTCTGAGCAGCCTGCAGGCAGACTCAGGGACCACTGGCAGTTAACACGCCTGGCTTTTAGCAGAGTCCCTACCTTTCTGGGCATCAAAGGACCATGCGTTTCCTCTGCAGGGTGGCTCTAATCCCTGCATATGCCTTTGGGGAGACAGACCTCTACGATCAGCACATTTTTACTCCTGGGGCTTTGGCCAACCGCTTCCAGAAGTGGTTCCGGAGAATGGTACACATCTACCCTTGTGCTTTCTATGGCCGTGGCTTCACCAAGAACTCCTGGGGCTTTCTTCCCTATACTCGGCCTGTGACCACCGTTGGTGAGTGGGCCCTTCTGCTGGCAGCCTTGCTCTAGGATACGGGGTCCAGCTCTGAGGCTGGGCTATGCTCAGAGGCAGGGAGCCTGGCTAGGATGAGTGGTGGCTTTGAGGTGAGGGCGGGCAGAGCCTGGGCTTGAGGCCTGGGGCCCATTCTGAGGAGTGAGCTATTCTGATGCTTTTTCTCCTTTTCCTTCTCTGTCTCCCCTGGCAGTTGGGGAGCCTCTACCACTGCCCAAGATTGAGAATCCGAGCCAGGAGACTGTGGCTAAATACCACGCACTCTATATCGATGCTCTACGCAAACTGTTTGACGAGCATAAGACCAAGTTTGGCATCTCAGAGACCCAGGAGCTGGTGATAATTTGACAGACATCCTCAGCAGCCTCTCGGCCTGGCTGGAAGGTATGATGCAACCGGTGAAAACAGGAGGACAAAAGTCCCCTGCGGCAGTGGTCCCCAACCTTTTTGGCACCAGGGTTCAGTTTCATGGAAAACATTTTTTCCATGGACCCAGGGTGGGTAGGGGGATGAAAGTGACGGGGAGCAGCTGTCAATACAGATGAAGCTTCACTGGCCCCCGCTCACCTCCTGCTTCGCGGCCTGGTTCCTAAGAGGCCATGGACGGTACCAGTCCGCGGCCCAGGGGTTGGGGACTACAGCCCTATGGGGCAGGGCTTCTGCTCCTGATTTGGCCAGTCCTCATTGTGGGAAGGGGCTGTCCATTTGGATGTTTTCTGCACTCCTTTTCCCACTTTGTTGCTTTCTCCTTCCAGCTCTTCTCTGCTTTTTCCTTGTGGTTACAGGGGAGATAGCCCCAAGAAGCAGGGGAGACCCTAGGGGAAAGGTACCCTGAAGGCACCTTGGCACCAGCATTAAGGAAAACAATGGACAGAATAAAAATCCCATCTTCTGATACTGTGTGCCCCAACTAGTCTGTTTTGAGAGCTCTAGGGTCCCTGCGCATGTCTTTCCTTCTCTACCTCGCAAACAGCCCCATCTCATGGCATCAAGACTCACGCAGGACTGGATGCCTTGAGAGCTGGTGGGCTTTGAGTTCAGGCTCCACCACCTTCAAGCCATGTGACTTTGATGCAATCAGTCACCACTGAGCCTCAGTTTCCTCTTCTATAAAATGGGTTTAATAATCCCTCCCCTGCTTACCTCAAAGGCTGTTGGGATGATCAGATGATATTGGATATGATTGAACTTTGTAAACTGGAAAGCTACACAAAATTATTCCCCTCCAACCATTTTACCCATTTCCTGTTCCTGAGCAATGTCCTAAATTTCATGGCATCTCATTTTTTCAAAGGTTTACAATGTAGGATCTTGTGTTGAAAGCTGAAGTAATTGATACCGCCTGCTACTCCCTAGTCCACACTGTTTCTGCCTCATAAAGCTGTAACACAACGGGTCAGGCTCAGGCCTAATTTTCTGTCTTTCCCCCAGCAACTTGCCCATACTTGCCTGGCCCTATGTCTGCCCTTTGTGTGACAGTCAGCCAGACTGCTCAGATGGAAATGAGGTACCTGGCTTCCAGCAGCCAGAAAGAACTCTTCTGAATGGCAAGTCTTGGACTCTTGGCCCAGTGGTTGTTGCAATGACAGGTTACACAATTTGGCACACAGCTCCTTTGTTCCATCCCTCTTGGGTGGATGCCATTTGGTCCAATGATTTACCTGCACTGAGCTTGACAATTTGGGCTAGAACATCGTGTGTGTTTACTACGGTGTGATCTGCTGCCTCTGCCCTGGGTGCCTGCCTCGTGTGATGATTTGTACAGAGTGGGGCAAAGACATGCTTCCACTTTTCTGCTGTTCCTGTTACATCTTGTGCCAAAGATTACATTTTCCCTGAGCTTCCATGTTTCTAAACAGTCTGCAAGATTGTTGTGACTGGTTTCCTTTTAAAAAAAGACCTTGGGCCGGGCGTGGTGGCTCACGCCTGTAATCCTAGCACTCTGGGCGGGCGGATCACTCAAGGTCAGGGGATCACTCAAGGTCAGGAGTTCAAAACCAGCCTGAGCAAGAGGGAAATCTGTCTCTACTATAAATAGAAAGGAATTAATTGGCCAACTAAAAATATATAGAAAAAATTAACTGGGTGTGGTGGCACATGCCTATAGTCCCAGCTACTTGGGAGGCTGAGGCAGGAGGATCGCTTGAGGCCAGGAGTTTGAGGTTGCTGTGAGCTAGGCTGACGCCACGGCACTCTAGCCTGGGCAACAGAGTGAGACTCTGACTCAAAAAAAAAAGACCTCTAAGGTGGCCAGAGGACCAGCCTGGGCTCTAATATCCAGGCCCTGCACATCTGGCCAATGCAGATTTGTCACGTGCTACTGTGTGCACATTGCTGCTTAAGTGTCACATTTCCCACCTATATAATGGGGGCAAAGGCTGCTGGGGTTGTGAAGAGTGCCCAGAACTCCCTTGAGCTACGTGTTCTCGAGCTTGCTATCTGCTCTTCTTCCTGGGATCCTCTTTCTTATTACAACATTCATGCAAAGAGCTTGAGCCCGAGTGGTGGAGGCAGCACGGCAGGGTGGAAAGCGTACTGGACTGGGAGTCAGACCAGGCAGACACACTCCCTTGTTGGTGACCTTGGGTGAACTACTTAAATTCTTTGAGCATCAGTTTCCTCAATGCTCAAAATCTGCAAAATGGGATGAGACCTTCGTGAGGAGCTGATGGCTGGATCTACCCAAGCTGTTTGGGGCCCAGGCCTGAAATATGTTATAGATGCCCCAGTCTCAAGCTGAGGGGGACTCCATGATGTGTGTCCCTGCTCCAGGACAATGTGCCGTTTGCTGGGCTATCTACCTACCAGGCATGTGGTTATAGGAGAAGATATAAGGTGATGGGAATGGGGGATGGGGGATGAGGGATGTGGTTTGGGGCATAGAGGATGATGGGGATGTTTTGCCAGAAAATTCAGACTACCTTCCTTCTGTCTCCCCCTTTAAAATGGGTACCTGGGTCCTTCCCCTAGCTCATGTGTGGTGTCACTTGCAAAGAAGCATCTAACATGTAGGAAGTGCTCAAGACAATTTCAAGAAGGGGGGGAGCAGTTTATTTGCAAAGAATAGACCATTAATTTACACAAACTTACATCCCAGTTTATATACATTATATATAGTTTATATACACAGTATCTCACACTGGATGCTGGCCCCCCAAAAGCAGCATTGGGCCTGCTCCAGGCCATTCTCAAAACAAAACCCCCTTATCTAAGCTGGAGGAATGAAGAAGTGGCACACCCCAACACCTCCTGGAAGGAGCCCTGAAATGGATTAAGATAAAAAATCAGTTTCCTTCTTTGTGCTCACAGGGCCTTGGGGAGACTCCAGGCAGGGATGGGGCCTGAGGCAGGACTAGAGTAGCCCAAGGACTTCCTGGTACTGGGCCAGTGTAGAGCCTTCCAGTCCAGAGGCAAGAGCTGGGAGAACGCCTTGGGAGGAGGCCACGCATTTCCAGCCTGGAGTCTGTGGGTGGGAGAAAGAAGAGGGCCATGTGGGACAGGGACTGCTCTACTCTCTCACTCTGCTGAGCCTGGAGTCGGGGCTTGCTCACCACTTTGGGTAGGTCCCCCCCTTCCTTCTCTGGGCCTCAGTTTCCACATGAGCAACAGGGGGTGGAATGTAGGTTGGGCTAGATTCCCTCTAGGGGCCTTTTTAGGTGGAAATTTCTCTGAATCTATTTGTGTCCACCAGAAGTTACATAAAACACACACACTCACATGTGGATCAAAGTCTTTGTTTACCTCCAGGGTTCCTAGCTCTTTCCTGTTCAGCAAAAGAAATTTGGCTCAGGATGGATGAAGGGGGAAATAGGCAAAGACTACTTTTTCAGGTAACCAGTAGTTGAGTCGCCTCTGACAGCTGCCTTTTGTGCCAGCCTGGCTATTGAAGCCCAAGCAGCCGGGATAGGCCTCTGCCATGCAATTCTCCTTCAAATCTCTGTCATCTGCTTGCCCACAATGTTCTTGTCCCATTTATTCACACTAGCCTTGGCCCTCTGGTAAACTCACATTGGCATAATTACAAATCGTCAATCTACTCCCATACTCTCTTATCAGTAAATCACTTCGCCACTTTGTCAATGACTTCGCAGCAACAGGGGCCCCAGCTACCTATTGCTCCCTCATCATCTCCACAGGGTTCCTTTGGGGGGTTCAGAATGAATAAAGGGTCAGATGGGAATCCTATTTCCCCTAAAATCCTCTCCATATCTGGAGAATAGCATAGGTATTAGAATGCTCTTTAGAGGCACGATTAAGAAGACTTCCTCTTCTCTCCTCAGACCTTTTTGGCCTTAGAACCAATCTCAGGTGTTCCCTCTATCCCTGAGAGCCCCTGGCAGTGCTAAGGTCTCTGTGGTCTGATAGAAAGAGCTGAGGAGTCATACTTAGTCGCTGTAGGCAGCAGGCTGGCCCCTGTAAGCTGTCAGCAGGGGAACAAGAGGAGGACCTTGCCCACAGCAGGGGCTCCGCACATGACAGTTGGTTGGCTGGTTCCTCAGATGGGGGAAAGAACACGAGGGCCACCAATCCTATGGGTCTCAGAGGCCCGCTGCCTGTACGTGGTATCAACAAGACTCTGCTGAACACAAGACATTTAAGGCTGCTGGCTGTTTCCCCAAGAAACGTCCAACTCTTCTGCCACAGAATCCCTGGTGGCCAAGAGAACATGGGGTGGAAATGGGCATCTCTGGGTTTCTCCCTAGCAGTGTCAGGGATTTTGGTTCCATATCACCACTTTTACTGATTCTCTCTAGACCCGAAATTCCACATGATGCTGTGGTGTAACAGAATAGTTTTGCAGTTAGACCTGGCTGAAGCCTCAGGTCTGTGACTTAAACTGGGTGAGATCTTGGTCAAAGTCCTTAATGTCTCGGAGCCTCACCTAAACAATGGCATTTGTAATATTGTCTGCCCTGCTTTCTTCAAAGAGGATAATAAAAGAGAAATTACTTTCCAAACTTTAAGGAGAGGTTCCTGCTACAAGGACGCACTGTCCAAGGCACTTTATAGGAGTTGGAGACAGACACATGCCTAAAGTTTGCTTCACCTTGGGTTTGCAAGGCCATCATTAGCAACTAGACAATGGAGGCCTAGCCCAGCACTTCTTGCCTCGACCCTGGAAGGACCTAGCAGTGTGGCTGCTTAGAAAGGGAAGACACAGCTGAGAAATAAGTACCTGTTGTTCTTGGTGGATTTCAGCTGCCTAGAGGAACTTATTCCCCATCTTCTGAAAAGAAAAGTCCTTTCAGGAGCAAGAGGACTGGACTGTCCAAGGGTGCCCCACCCAGTTTTGGACTGGATCTAGCACCCAGGAGCCAGGTGGGGCCCAGGCTGTCAGAAATAAGGCAGGCACTTGAATGGTCCTACCATATGATCGGGTGGGGATAAAGGGAAGGTGCCTTTGGACATGAACTAAGGGACAGAGCCCTGCCCATAGCCTAGACATTGATGCCTAGACACTGGCTTCTCCTGAGCATGGCATCTGTGGTGACTATGCTTTGCTATGGTTTATGAAGCCAGAGCGAAGACAGGCTGGGTCAGTAGGTCATGAGCCACTGTCCTTTCAGATAAGGCCTGGACTAATGACCACTTGAGTTGCAGCAAATCTGAACAAAACCTCTCTGTCCTCTCCCCACCTCTCGTCCTTTTGAGGCCTTGCTGATCACCTGGGGCAGCCTGGGGTTTGGGAACTTAGAAGGCTATTGTGGTGGCTGCCTGGTAAGAGTCAGAAATAGAATTTGAAGGGACGTCTAGAGGTCACCCAGTCCAACCTTTTATACCCAGACACAATTCAATTAGGATTAGATGAATAACATTTGTGCTGCTTAATAAATGGAAAATTCTCTTTGTGCCCAGGTAAGCTAAAGAATGTCCCAGACTCACACGAGCACAGGTCC